GCACATTTAATCTCTGCTCCTTTGTCTTATGGGAGTGGTACATTAACCCCGTCCCATGTTAACTTTATTTAATCTCTATTGCTGTGTCTTATGGGAGTGGTACATTAACCCCGTCCCATGTTAACTTTATTTAATCTCTATTGCTGTGTCTTATGGGAGTGGTACATTAACATCGTCGTCTGTTCGGCACATATAATCACTAATGCTGTGTTTTATGGCATTAGTACATTAATGTTCGGCACATTTAATCATTATTGCTATGTTATATGGTAGTGGTACATTCATCCCATTGCATGTTCGGAACATTTAATCAGTATTAATGTGCGTTATGGGATTGGTACATTAACCCCGTCCAATGTTCGGCACATTTATTGACTATTGCTGTGCCTTATTGGCTTGGTATATTGACCACGACACATGTTCGGCATAATTAATCACTATTGCTGTGCCTCATGGGAGTTGTACATTAACACCGTAGTCTGTTCGATACATTTAATCACTACTGCTATGGCTTATGGCAGTGGTACATTGACCCCGTCCCATCCTCGGGAAATTTAATGATTATGAAGAGTTATTATGAATGTGAACTCACCTCACATGAGAAACCTACATATCCTTTTGGACATTCGCACTTTTCTACCTTTAAAGCACGTGACTGATTAGTTGGATGATCAACTGCCATGTCCAATGACACTTCACGAAGACTGCAAAATAAAATAAAAAACATCACTTTATGTAGGTATATCACTGTCGTGATTCAAAAGTATTAGTAATGTTGATAATTGGGATCAAATAAATGAGTTGGATTGTTTTGTCAGATATAAAAGAGCAAAGTGTGTCCGGGTGGTTTCAACCTAGGTTGAAAAGGTCCTAATAAACGGACGAAACTAGTCTCTAAACTACAATTGTGTTGTTGTTAGTGCGTGGGGGATTATAAAAATCACCATAGAGTGTGTATAGACATGAAGAAATTAAAATGAATAAGTGTGTACAAATATGTCGGGGATACCTTGCATGTAAAGACTTTGTGTCATAAAGTGCCTCGATAAGAATAGAGCCCAGTGACGACAGGACCATCATTAGTCGACTACGTGACACTACTTGGTCCTCAAGGTTACGCCAAAGTCCCTTTAAGGTAAAAACGTTTGGTATTATAAAACAAACTTATTTGCTCTTTATTAGTCGACGTCGCTTATTGAAACCCAGCACAACTTAGTAAAAAGGAAAATGATTTGCTAACGTCTTTTAAACCATGTGAAATCCTTCATGTTATTTATTGGGATCTGGGACAGATCAGCGGCTAACTTGCTCATACTGTTCATCGTCTGGCGCGAAACACAGGTTTTGATAAGAAGTTCTCAAACTCATTAATAATTCATGAGGCCAAGACACTAGGAGAACACTAGCGTGAAGGAGGTTTGGAAATGTGATCTTAATTAGCATAAAATTTGCGCAACTTATTCTTCGTTTGCACATTACGTCAAAGCCACCATCTTATATAGATTTAAAAAATTGTCAATGAATTTTTTGTATCATCCAAAATGGCCGTTGTATCTTTTGCGACTTCACTCCCTTGGAAATGATTAAAAACCAGCRATAAATTTAAATTTCCAGAATTATTAATGAGTTTGAGAAGAAATATATCACGCACTTGAAATAATGTTTCATCAATCTCGTACCCCGAGCCTGCGTTTCTTCTAGCCTGCGGCGATGAACGAGATAAATAAGACTTTTAATTCTTACCTCTTTAAGTACGAAGGTATACTCTTGCTGCCGAAGACCAACTGGTTGACTATTCTTGAGTATAAGTCCATTGCCCTGGAAGAATCATCATCAAGATCAGTCAAGAGAATATTAAGTAAAAGGCACATCTCCCATACATGGGTCTCTAACCATGAAAGTTTTTTGAAAATCTATTTTTAGCTCCGCGCGCAAGCCTGAGCCATTTTAGCATGCGATTCCTGATTGGCAGAGTGGAAGTAACTTCGATGCGAGCGAAAACTGTTAGTTTCCATTGAGAAAAATTTCTTCATAATCAGACAAAGTTGAAATAAAACTATCATGTATTCTTAATAAATGAATTAAACATTAAACTTAACAAAAATTGTAAAAGAACATCGAAAAAGATCAAATAAGGATGGTTTTCAGTGTACATGTAAGCTAATATAAATTCAGGCACCGCGGAGCTCCCATTTTTTTAGACACAATTGAAACAAAACTTTATAAAGGCGAAAATAAAGTCGGGAAAATAAGACAGGAGTAGACATCCTTTTAACTTGAAAGACAAAAATAAGAATATTCATTTTCTTGAATTAATAAAAGTCGCTTACAAAAATAATAAAAAAATATATAAAATATCTAGAGTAAACGGAAAAGAAGAAGAGGTACTCTTAATACGGTGGGAATCGAACTCGCGTCCACCATCTTTAATTAGATAATTAATTCCAAAATACAGAAGGAAAAAAAATAGTGCCTTCATGCCATACCCCTAGACATCCGCTGGGTCATCGTATGGACTTCGGACATGACGGCGATTAAGTCCCTCTGCCCTTGGGTGTACGGATTACGCAGGATAGTGTTCTAGCCGAAGCATCAGGGGAGAGACTAGCCGGCCCACAGACCATATCTTCAGCTAATCCTTTGCACTCTGCCACGCACTGGCACGTTGATTTGAAGTGGAAAATGATCTAGTCTATCTGGTGCATTGTTTTCATGGCTATTGTTTTGCTAATTTCCTGAAATCGTGGCCCAGTGGAAAAAACTTGGAATAAGCTTATCTATAGAAATATTAAAAGTTTTGAGAGAAAGTCTTTGATTTGTCGACTCGTCGAATAATAATATACGATTGTTTGCTAAAAAACACACATCTGAATTCTTGAAGAACACTTCTTGATCGATCTTTGAATACATGGAAGTTATTTTTATTTGTTGTTGGTCTATAATTTGTCCTAAAGCGAATTTTTTTTTCTCTGTGCAATTGAGAGCCGCATTTGCGAGTAGTCTATTATCCTTCACTATCTTTAGACCTTCACCTGGAATTTCAAGTCCCCTCTCTTAAATCCATAAAAAAATCCCAGGGCCCCTCCTTTTGTAAATAAATAAAAATTTCGAGGCCCCTCCTTTTCTCACCCAGCCCCTTCCCCCAGTTGAATAATAAACGGTCCCTAAATTGATTAGATTCTAGAGTTATTTTACTGGATAGCTGCATCCATTTTCTATGCTTCACTTTTGTTAATTACAATTTTGTTTTATTCTACTTTTTTAAATGCGCCAGTCAACCAAATTTAAATCTTTGAAAACCTAGCAAAAACGTACATTCAAATGCTGTTTTGGCCAAAAATTGATTCTAAAACAATCAGGGGATATTAATGCTATACTTATATGATATTCCTGGGATAAAGATCGATCCTTTCGCAAAGTTGCGATAAAGCGCAGGACTGAAAACAGCAAGTGCGAAAAAATCCACATACCTTCAAAAGCACTGTAACCGTCTTTCCTTGTTTGCTGATATCGTAAGAACTAACGAAAGACAATATTCCTCCGTATGATGTTAGCTACGAAAGAAATAAAAAAGACATGGTTTTTGCATGAAAATAAATGTCGTAGAAGCGAATTTAGAAATAGCCTTACTTAAGCACGAGGCCACATACCGGTGTTGCATGAAAGCGAAAATCAATTGTACGCCGAATTTTGCCTCTTAGCTTGATTGTATAATATTAATTTATGCTAATTACTCCAACAAACGAAGTAAGCTGAATATGAGAAATTAAATTAATKAAAGTGTCGGAGAGCGAAAATCTAGTCCCACCTTATTTCCAGTGAACGTCTCTGGTAGTTTCCAGAAAAGTGGAATTTTATCTCGATTAACCTGGTGAACCAACTCTTGTGTTACTGAGTTATAAAGAAAGCTTTCATCTTGTAACGTTTCGTTAGCATTGGTCATAGTAACACCCTGGGAACCTCCTTTTATGAACACCACAGTGATCTGACAAAATATTAAATAAAATATTGCATGAGTTCGTAAAGGTTTCTAAAAAAAATGAAAAGATTATTTTTTAGAAAATTTTACCAGAGAAACGATAAATAGGCAAGAGGATGCGTGCAATGCAAGGTGCTAAAAGTTTTTGGCTTGTTTTCTTCGACCTTCGACTATATTTATAACTACCAATATTCTATTTTGGTCAAATTAGGGGGGAGGAAGGGGGGTGCAAAGCCGCCCGTCTTCCTTAACTTGATTTTACAATGGTAACAGAAGTACAACTCACGTTGGTGATTACATGGGCTTCCTGTGTTTTACCTGTGTTTTGTTGAGCATCGAGCTTGCACATTTATCAGACACTCCATTACAGAAGCATCTCAAACATCCACCGTAGGGATCTAAACCAAAACCAAAGTATCCTGATAGGCATGCGTTACACGTGGCTCCTGTCACATAAGGCTGCAGTAACAATAGACATGAGTCACATCAAGAGAGCATAAATAAGAGAGGGAAAAATTCTAAATAGCGCGCGCGCCATCGGTTAGGCTATTCTTAGTAACCGGATGCAGTTTAAATTTCGAATTACCCTACTCCCGTTCGTCATCAACTTGGGCGCGCGCGTTCTTACCATTTGTTGTTTTGATCAAAAATGAAATGGCTACGCCTCGATTTTATATATCGTATACAACGCGGCCACTCATACTGTATATATTACCTGTTGATTCTTTTTGTCAAATTTTATTGACATTGCCAACATTTCTATTGTTCTAAAATTGTTAGGCTCATTTGACATGGTTCGCCAACACACTGCCAACAATGAATGTGGGGTCAAATCCGGGCCTAAGGCGTCCGCGAATAGCTTAAGAAATATTTTAAAGATTTTCGAATCAGCCTAAAAGTTAAATAGAAGAAAAGGTGAGATGGAACAAACCTTACAGCGGCATCTGCGTGTTTCTCGGTCTGGTTTCTCAGAATAGCTTCCTCGGATATCACATGACTCAGGCCCTGCAGAAAGAAACGACATTGCTTCTTAGTACTCGTACCAAAACCTTGTCCTGGACGAATTCAAAAATTAACTTTTTGCTAAGTGGTACTCCGTGGTACTTTTTAAGCCCGTTCGATTCATTTCATATTAAAAAAAAAAAACGGTTTTTATTAAAATGTTTTTCAAAACTGCTCAGCAAAGTTTTTGCTCGTTAAACAAAAATGGTACATCAGTGTAATGATATAAGTACTGATGCTAATCTGCAAAGTTTTAAGTTTTATAGAGAAATACGGGATAAATGCTGATTTTGAATTTTTTTGCCGAAGCAGCGTATATCAGTATTGACAGTGTGTCGTACCTGCCGGTAAACATTTTTCACCAGGTACTAGTGGGTTTCTTGTGTAATTTTTGCTGCACCTATTCAGATAATGGTGACTATTTATTGTTAAACATAAAATGTAAGCGAACATAAATCTTACAATTTTCTTACTGGTTTTAGTGTTTCACACCTCCCTGTTCGATCGGACCAAACACTTGTCCAAACACACTTGACGAAGACAACAAATATAATAAGCGGTTGCCTATTCGTCAGACGTACCTTTCACAGTTTCGTCCAGTGTACTCCTTCTCACACGCATCACAAGTAGGTTTTCCATCCTTTGCCAGAAAACATGTTTTGCTAAACCTATATGGTAGACGGTCACGTGGGCATGGGCAAGGTAAACAATCAGTTGGTGTACCTTTTCGAGCGTCACCATAAAAACCAGGTCTACATTTGTTACAATAGGGACCTTCGGTGTTATGAGCACAGTTCTAGACAGAAGAAAAATTGCATGATCGCGCGGTTAATACTACAATGTTCATGAAAGGAAAAATGATACTCTTTCACATGGTAAATAATCCAATCTTTTTACTGCGGCTGAGCAATAATATAATATGAAGTAATGACGTCWGTGCCAGTTACTTGGCATAATGTAGTTTAAGGTTCCAGTTGTACAATCCTTCAAAAGCAAAGATTGTCGTAGTTATTATGGTATCGTCGCATTTCACAAAAATATTCTTCTTGAAAGAAACAAACTCTAACCAGGTGCTGAGCAAAGCATTTAGGTATAAAGGAATCCGTTACTCAGTGACGAAATGTACGTAAAAATGATTAAATAAAGTAGAATAACGAGAAATACAGTAACAAAACCTGAGTAAGCAAAAAAATTACGTCTACCATTCAAGTACGAATTTTACTCAACAGGGCTTGGCTCAGCACCCTTGAATGCACAAAATGTTCTCCCTTTTTTATTGGAAAAGAAAAAAAACGGATATCTTGTTACGCTTGATTTCGCAGCGTTTTTTCCGCATATATTGCTATGAAGTTTTCTTGTTATTTGTTACTGGAGCTGACTATCTACTCTAAGGCGTTGCCCAGTCTCCGTTCCCAAATAATTTCCCAACCCCCAATTGTGACTGCCAAGGGCCAATTGATATACTGCCAATACCGCCAATTTTTGTGTGGACACTTACGAAGCAGGTCCCGTTGCTTGGATGACATTCACTAGAATGTCCATGACATGCGCACTTGATGCATCTTAATGGAAAAGACTCGGCTCCAGGATCTCGAATGTAATCTGCCGCGCACGACTGAAAACGAAATAGAGCAAGTTAAAATACGAAGGCACATTTTTTAAATACCAGAGGTATGTGTTGACTTAATTAACGTTAATGTTAACTTCTCATTTTTGATAGTCAGTGGATAGTCTAGGCAAAGCGGTAATTCCTAGAGCTCAGTAAAGTTGGGAAGTTTTGGTGAAAACTGAATTCATGAAGAAGTCTTTAAGTATAAGCATGCAATAGGGTCGCATAGGGCTTTTCAATTACCCCGACGTGAAAGCAAAATTTCTCTCGTCTGTCTCCGTAATAAAAATAAAAATCTAAATTGCGTTTGTGCAAGTTTGATAGCGCTTAGGCCCTAGAAAAACACACTGACTGCCGCAATATATCAAGGAATCTCAATGACAATGATTTTCACTATTCTCATTCGGCACCAGCGCAGAGAAGCTTCCAAATTCCGCATCCCGTGGTTATTTCACACATTCCGATACTCCCGGGGATCACTAGCGACAACCTAATTGGCTTGAGAATAAATACGTAAGAGTTATCAGAATGAATAATTTCACCTCCTTCATTTAACGGTCTTGGTGGTCGACTCGTCAGCGCCCCACCCTCCTCCCCGCAGCGATGACCAACCGCTTCCCTCGGCTGGGGTTGTCGCTCACTGTCGCCTCCGGAATCGGCTCTCCCATATCTTAATCAAATGAGCCAATAGGACGCCAGGAGCGATGGTGCCGAATGAGAATATAATACATTTCACATACCTGGCAAGAAAGCCCTTGGTATCCTTGTGGACAGCGGCACTGCTCCACAAAAATGGCTTGTCCCTGTCCCTTGTCAGTTGGCGTGGCCACGTCAAGAGAAACATCTTTGACGCTGAATTAAATGATTCTAGATCTTACTTATTTACCTCAACTTTCGCTTTTTCTTGCATATAAATTTTATTGAGGCATGTCAATGAATACAGGCATTCTGAAGAATTCAGTTTAAAATTGTTAAAAACTGCAAGTAAAAACCTCTATAAGATTATTGTTGTTTGTCCTTTTTACCTGATAGATTGGTATTTTCCTTTGCCAACTCGAATAAGAATGGAATCAAGATTGAACAATACTCTCATGAGATCTCCTCGTCTGGCAAGTCTCCCATCAGTAGTTTTCCACACTTCCTAAAAGCAATGAAATGAGAAAGAATAAAAGGAAAAAAGTATTAAAAAACGGGAATTCACAAAAAATCTAATATTCAATAAAAATACGGATGAACTGAATTAATATAATTCGTATAATATAAGGAAAAGGTTGAAGTATAAAAATAAGGCAATTAATAAAAAATAGTGACTAGAGTAGTATATTGTAAGAGATTGAAAGTAGTGGCCATAAAACTAAAAAGAATATACACGAAACGTACCTCTACGAGAGGAGTAATAAGATGATTGAATACCTCAGGCTGAGGCTCTAGGATATGACGATACTCCAAAATTATTCTATTGCCCTTCAAAAGTTAGAGAATCCAAGCAATTGATAAATGCTGAAATATTTGGATCTATTACATTCGCTTTAATCAAGAAACAAGAATTGTATTAGTTTCATGCATCAATGCAAGGTATATAAAATACATACAACATAAATTTGGGTTGCCTCGCATGTGCAATTTAAACACCTTATTTATCAACTCACCTTCATTATGACGTCAGCTGGTGTTTGCCCTTTTGGTTGGTTGAGAGCGTCTCGTTGTTGCTTTCTATCAACAACATCTATTTTTCCAAGAACAGAAGGACTGGAACGCTTTAGGTGGAATTGAAGAACGCCCCCATAACTTGTGAACTGTGTTACAAGCAGCAAGCATAAGTATGAAAATTGCGCAAGCGCAGATAGCACAGCTGGAATCCTTTAATAAACAAAGCTTTCAATTAACCTTAAAATACGGTAGGTGCTTGTAAATGTCTTTGTGCTAATGCTTGTGTAACTAGTGAATGGGGCTTCTTATTCTCAGTCAATATAAAAGCCTCTTAACTTTACCCTTTTGCCTAGGTATTGTTTTGGTAGTTTCCAAAAGTAATTAACAGTTTCATTGATATTTCTAATTCGCAGCGCTCCCGAGCTGACATCCACTCTATATTTCTTTGTTTTAATCTCTTCTTCGTTCTCGTTAACAAGACGAAACCCATGAAAATCTCCAGGTTCGACGAACTTTGTTTCAATCTAAAAAGAAAGAGACGCTCAATGTAAAACAATGACAATTACTAGTTAGGCTCTAACATCGGATGTAGGTATCCTGCTTGGGTGAGTTTACTGCTCTAGATGTTGAACAAATTATTATATACATGGAAATTTATTACAGATAAACCTGTTTTTTGTAGAGAGAGGCACTTTGACAATCCTTTGTGACTCCCATACAGAAGCATTCACGACACTCGTCTGGTGATAAAGCAGCAGCATTGAATCGTGGAGGCTTGCAAGCATCTCCTGGAACTAATCGAGTATAAAGATGCAAATATATGTATATTTCTATCTATCACTAGGGCGCTGAAAATATATGCGGCATGATATCCCATAATTTCTGATAGAATTTTATCATACTATTTTGATATACCTATATAACTAACACGTGACCAGAAGTTTAGCTAAGCTCGCGGGCTCTTTCATACAGCCTAGTAGTTCTAAGGTATCTTACCTTTCACCTTAATGACACATGTTGGATAAGCACGAACAGATCCCTTGGTATTGTGAGCTTCACACTGGTAACTTCCCGACATTGCTTTAGTGGCATTTCTTAGCGTAAGTTGGCTCTTGCCATTGATAGACTGGACGGTCAATCTTGGTGTAGAAGGAATTCTTTTGTCGTTAAACCGCCAAGATATAACAGGAGGTGGTTCGCCAGTAGCCGCACACATGCAGTGAACTGTTTCTCCAACACTGATGTCAATAGGATATGTGGTGGATTCTGTTATTCTTGGGCGCGCTATAAAAAGTATAATGTCAAACCATAAGGACGTCAAACTCCCTTTCTTAACTGGCTAGTAAAAAAAGTGAAAACTAATATTATTAAACAAGACTGTCTAGTTTTGGATGTTCGGTTCAAGCTCACGACCATGCATGCGCTCAAAACCGCTGAATTGCAATGGCTCAAAATTTTATTAACGAACCGATACACGTTTCGAACTTCGAAGGGTCAAAACCCTTAACGTTATATATGTTTTTGTTGTTATCTCCTGATAACGATTTCCGTTTTGTTGAGTCATTTTTCTTTCTCGTTCATTTATTTTGAATTTGTTTTAAATTCTGTGTAAAAAGAGCATTTTTAGAAAGGTTTCTAATTACTTTTTGCTAAAGTAGTCAGCCACCAGAATAAACCTTTATCAGATTCTGTTAGTGTCTGATTGTTGTCTATATTTTGTACAATAACTTACTACAATTCACTTCGTCAATGCCATTGGCACAGTCAGGTTGGCCGTCACATCTAAAGCTTCTAAAGATACACTCAAAATCGGAAATAACCGAGCCACTACCACAATCAAAATGAGTAAGAGGACACCTCGAGCCTGCTGGCGGTGTACCTACACAAATGAATGAAATCTAAGATGAAAAGAATTATCGTATTGATAGCCTGCAATAAAATATTTAGCGGGCTCCCACAAACCGGAAGCCCAGAGATCTGGTAAAATGATTTCCCCAGAGCCTTACCGGCCCCAACCCGCTGACTAAAAAAACCAGAAGACTCTGGACTCGAGATTGGACCATTTTCTGTACGAAGTTCTTTGGGCGCAGCACTGGAATTGGTGATTGGTGGGTTGGTGATTGGTGGGTTGGTGATTGGTGGGTTGGTGATTGGTGGGTTGGTGATTGGTGGGTTGGTGATTGGTGGGTTGGT